TATGGATTCCGATTTATTCTGAAAATTTTGCTCGTTGAAGCAGACTCCAGCGAAATAATATTCGGTTTTCATTCTCTCGCGCAGCTCAGCACAAGTTTCAAAGCTTATAATATTTTGAGTTGGTATGTTGAATTTCTTGTTTGCCTCCATCATAATGTTGGTAACAGCTAGAAGGTTCGGTGTATAAGCTATGACATTACGTGGTGCATAAACATTAAATGTTGGCCTAGAGAAATTATAAGAAAAGGATTTAATAATTTACTTGTGAATATAATTAAATTAGATTAATTGAAAGCAGAGACTTGTGAGTATATGTATGTACGTATGGCGATCAACAAAAATTGCTCACTTATCGTAATAAACTCCCAGTGACTCTTGACGGTGCTTAATTTTACTTTGTATAGCAAGCCATTTCTCATCAAGGTTCACACTTCTGTAACTGGTTGCCGTAATATGTTCAGGTGAGATCTTTAATCGTAGTATGACGGCAATGATGCTACAAAGGCAAGGCATAAGCAAAGCGAAAAGATATTCCCAGCGCGTGTTCCAATGCATGCAACAATCTTTCCAGAACATCCATTTGAACCGTTGCCAATGGAAATTCCTTGGCAATGCCTCATCGTCGGAATGTTCACTGGTCACAGGTGAATTGTCGGAATGCATTTTCCTAAATAACCGCGCAGTTACACTTTTCCTCTTGAAGTGAAAAATTTGTATGATTTTTGAACAAGTAAATGACAGCTCTGTAAGATTGACAAGAAGAGTACTCAATCAAAAATTTCACAAGTTCCAAACAGACAGCAGTAGAAAACAGTTTCAATGTAGATTTGTATGTTAATAGGAATGAAATTTCAGTACGTAGAGATAAAACTGATAAAGCAAAACTAAAATCTCTGTCAGTAACAGGAAGAACCTCTACCATCCGTTCGATACCAAACGAGATTTCCGACAGGATGTTTCCTTTTCATGTCACTATTAATAGTCATAACATTGAAGTCGTAGAAATTTTCGTCTATCTATTGTAGGAACCAGTATTAACACCAACAACAATGTCAGCCTGGAAATGTAACGCAGAATCCCTCCTGCCAAAAGATGTTACTTCGGACTGACAAGGTAATTGAAAAGTAGGGTCCTTTTCGGAAAAGAGAACCCAAACTCTACAAGTCTCTCATCGTTCTCTTTTTGCTATATGGTGCGGAAGCATGGAGTTTCCGGGACAGAGGTTTTGCGTATGATTTATAGTACTTTGCGAGTTGGACGGCGACATTGGCATAGTTCAGCGAATCAAGAAACAGCATCGACGCTGGCTTGGTCACGAGGTTCGGATGGATTAGAATATCCCAGCTTTGAAAGCACATTACGCACCGGTGGAAGGCTAGGAAGGGGAAGGCCTCCACTCTGTTGGAAAGACCAGGTTGAGAATGACCTGGCTGAACTTGGTATCTCCAATGGCGCAATGATGAAAATTGATTTTAATAGCATAAGCGGTGTCCACGCCAGTAAAGAAGAAGAAGAAGTGTTAGACTTGTTAAAAAAAATAGAAACTCTTATAGAGTCCAGCCAGATATATGCATAGTTTTCGCTATTAACGGTATACCTTTATAATGTTTTTCTGAGCCTGCATACCATTTAACTACCCTAAAGTGCAGTTCTAATTGCTGTCTATGTAGCTCCGACCAAGTTTCATCTTATGCAGAGGCCTGTCTGAATGTAACAATCATAACCGCTTCCACACTCCGTATGTCATCTTGAAAGCTCTTCAATAGGGCTAAGGGACTAGTCGACGATCTTCACTGGAAAGCATATAATGATGAACTCTCTCTCTTTTTAAGAAAAGACTATAAGGACGACATGGTAAAGGTACTCATGGTTGATCAAGTGTTTCCGCCTGTAAATCTTTAATTTTTAACTAAAAGCATTATAAAGGATGTTAAAAAACAATCTAGCCTGAAGATAAAGGTTAAATCTTTCTAAGACAAGAGACTAAAATGGTGAGAAAATATAGTTTAAACATACGAAACATAAATCAATGCATTACTCAGCTATACATTGGCTGGAAAAAATTAATTGAGATAAGGAATTCACTCAAGGAAGAATGGTAAGATAATTACCGTACTACGAGTGGTATCCTGGAAATGTACACGGATAGATCAAAGTATGAAGCTCTATTTCAAGCTTCCTGATCATTGCACTGTCTTTCAGGACCCTTACATCTGGAGGCAGCGCAACAAATCAAAGTCAGCTAAGCCCCCTTGAGGATTAGGGGTTAAAGACTTTACCCGCGTTAAGGCGTGTCTGTCGTAAGAGGCAGCTAAAATCCAATAGTTCCCGCCACAGTCGGGTGTTTATACCGGAACGATCTGGATTTTTATCCGGCCAAGGATTGCCATTTCCGCAACATTCCTCAAAAAGTACTTTGGGGAATATTTTTGCGCTTACAACAACAACAACAAATTCAGCTAATAATAAATTTCCAAATTGTGCTAGACTGTCTACAGGAGATGGCCAAACCAAAAAAAAAAAACCCACCTGGGTCCTTGCGCATTCCTCTCTATAAAGAACGCATTGAAATGTCTTGTGAAACGTGCAATCTGCTTTTAGATTAATTTACATAAAAATAAGCTAGGTCACGGTGATCATGGAAATATCACATGATATGTACTACTTAAAAGGATGGACCAGTCTAAAGTAAGTCATTGCCTGATAGAACTACTGGCAGAGAGACTAGAGGCTACCTGAAGCAGCCGCTGCAGAGCCACAATGTTGAGGCAAATAAGTGAAGGTCTCTTTAATAGCCCTACCGCCAAAGGGCTTTCTCCTTTATAAAATAAATTTTGCGATTTTCCGCAATCTTATTCAACTGTCCTGCTTCGGGCAATGCTAGGTTTCGGAATTTCGAGGCACCACTGCTGGATGGTCTACCGAAGATAGTCTACGTCAACGTCGTGGATTTAATGAGGTTAATCGAGTTTTTGTGGCGTAACAATGGGTGTTAGAGTGGCCTAAGCGCAATCGAAGCGATATACCGGTATCCACCAAAAAATGATCTAAGCTACTCGTTGGGGTGGTGGGATAAATACTTCAAAAACATCTCTCACGGTTTTTACATCTTTCAAGGAGAAAGTTTGATATGCAGGTTTTTCTTAACTTTAGTATATCTCGACCAAGGCGGTAACCGTGATTCAAGTTCTTAAATCAAAGCTTCATAATTGTCATTGCCCAGCAAGTAAAACCAGCTGACCAGGGCTTAAAGGTTTGCTTTTAATACCATTGAAATTGAAGTCTCTCAAAAAAAAAAAAAAAGGATTTTAGAAGTCGTATAGGACAAAAAAACTAAATAGAAAATAAAATAAATTAAATCAAAACGAAGTTTATTTGATAATTCAGACACCAAAATGTTATACAACTTCATGCGTTTGACAAGTTTAGCAGTGAAGACAAATAAATAAAATTTATTTAAATATTAATTGAAGACCCGAACAAACGAGTAAAAACTCGAAACATAACGGCATATATAAATAACTCCTCAGAAATTATCCAGGTCTGGATTTGCTTACTTCTTCAGCTATCTGCTCGAATATATAATTCATATTGATTGTAGTGATCGTGATGCTCTCAACATTCAATTGGAACGAATTCAAACGCAGGGTCTTGAAAATCATGGATAAAGTTGTACTATGATGTGGTATGTAGTACTTCATGATTGTGCCCTCTTGACTAGAAAAACAAAAAATTACACGTATTTGAAATACTGTTAAGATTTGGTCCCACTTCACTTACACCAACTTCGAAGTGGGAAATGTTTTCTCCATAAAAGCGGTCAAGCGGAAGTAGACCTTCGATGTTACGCCATGCGGTGTCTGCACGGTCTTCTTCATACGCATAACAACCGAATAACCCTTAGCCAAGGTGGCTGCAATCTTCTCTGGACTGCCGATGTGCACAAATTGACCATCACGCATAATCGCGATTTTAGTGCATAGAATCTCTGAGTAAGAATTCGCAACAGATGTAACCATGACAGCTGTGCCTTGCTTGCGCAGCCCGTCCAACAGACGATACAGCTGACGTCTGCCGTGTGGATCAATACTCAAACTGAAATTGCCGATGCATATAAGTGAGGGTTTCTTCAAGAGTGCTATCGCCAAGGACACTCTCTCCTTGATGCCCGAACTGCAGTCATCCAAAAGCATGTGATAGTGTGAGTATAAACCAAATTGTTTTGCAAAATCTTCACAGATCTCTTTGATCTCATTACGTGGATAGCCATAGAGTATGCAAAACATTTTCAAAATCTGCGCGCAAGTCAAACGCAGCTGTACGCAACTAACGGTGGGCACATAGGCGATGTGTGCGAGCGCTTTGCCACGTTCCTCGGTTATTGACGCATTATTGATGTGTACACGACCAAAGCTCGGTTTCTCCTGACCGGCTATGAGCCGCAGCAGTGCATTCGTATAATTACAGTTAGTGCCGATAATGCCAAATTTTTCACCACTGAAGCAAATGAAAAGTAAAACAATGGGAAAAGTGTGATAAAATTCGAAAACATATTTCACTGCCGTCACGGACTCACGGTCTGATTGTGAAGGATAGTCTGTCGACTAGAATTTTATTCTTTCGTATTAAGCCCAAATTTTCACAAATCACATTGTAGTAATAACGTATGCGCGGTCGCATTGTTTGTACAATTATATTTTCGGCTGTGACGCTATCCACTTCGTAAGAGTTACTTGCATGACGCCGCTTATATTCGTCGAGTGCACGATCACTAAGAGGTTATTAATTAATTTATATTTATTTTTTTTTTTTTTCAATTGTCTTATTTCGGCCATCACAAATTCTATGACGACGCTAAATTTATGATTGCCCTTAGAATAGCTGCAGAAAATCTCAGCAGAATTTAATGAACTTACACTCAGCGGTTGGTATCACAATAGTGACGTCATAGGTGTTGTGATGGCTTCAAGAATAGATGTGCGAAAACTATGTTTACATACTAATTATCAAAGGGTATGGCGCGGGTAAGTAAATTTCTGCACTTAAAAATCAGTATTCCAAGCCAACTAAGTACAATAATGGTCCATAAGCACGACATATCAGCGTAGACAGTAAGTTCGGGTTCCTCTGCAGTCGAATAAAAATGCAAATTATCTTTGCAAAGTAGACAATCAAATGTTCCACACTCACCACAACAATTGGGTGCACTTTTACATTTTGCTATTACAACTGATGCAACATATATACTTTCGCTTGAACAGAGGTTCTTTTGGAGATTATAGTCGTAGACATTTTCGACGCCTCTGCAAAAAGAATACAATGGAAATATTCGCGGTAGAAAGGTTATTGTGTGAACATAGTTTTTAATATCTCTTGAAAATAGTACATGAAAGACTACACCCATGGCTTGAAAAGTAGTTATTTTCAAATAAGCCGCGTGACTGTTTTGGAAAAAGATTGCACCAAGCAAGTAGTTAGTGGAAGTTATTGCCGTACTGGCAAGTATGAGCAAGCCAGCGCACCAACCTGAAAATATTTATGAAAAAAAAAACAATATATCAATTTTACTTTAAATATTTAAATAAAGTATGCAAGTGTCAGTGCCCTTAGGGTTTTCCAAAATAAGAGCAAAAAATATGTAAATTTTCGCAAAAATCAAATATATATACAAATATATATATATATACAACATTTATAGGGCTATCCATTTGGTGGTTTCGTAAATAAACTAAAATAAATGGCATTTAAAAGAAGTTTTTTCCTCGCGAATCCTCGCAAACTTTCATCCCTTTTCGACATTTTTTGGCACAAACTCGACGGTATCTCAGTTATAATTTGTCGAATGGTGGTTTTCAAGAACTCAAGACTTAAAGGTTTATCCACATACACGTAAGTGGTCTTTCGCGTTGCCCCACAAAAGAAGTCCAAAATATTAAAATTAACCTCAATTTTCGCACAAATTGTTTTATACAATTTTAAACGTGAATTAACTAAGCAACTTTGTTCGATGGATTAAATTACAAATTTTGGCGGAGAAGCCTCATCAAGAACCAGTGGTCGTAGGTAACCGCAAGACGAACACGAAAGGCAGTCAATTAGCCAAGAATAATATAAAAAACTATAATATCGGTGCCTACAATTGTCGACTGTAAAGGTCGATCTTTGCTCGTGTTTTACCGATACCAATCCCTAGCCAAACATAAAAATATAAATCTGTACTGGAAGGCGAATCCAAATGCTCAATTTTCGGCGTCTTTATACACCGCCACAAGTTGTAAATGCATAATTACAACGAAACCACTTACGCAAAACAAATGTTGGCACATAAAGCGTGGAGAATTCTATCCAAATAATCGCTATGAAAATTGTCATGAAAACAATGATTTTGAGCATATCAAAGACGAACATTGAAGTCCAATAATTAATTGAGCTCAAACCAGCTAAACGCTGTAAGCTGTCGAATCCACTCGAACGCTCCCATACCAAGCTTATTATCCTTAAGGACATTAGATAACATAAAATTAAGGACATTTGTAAAGCCATTATGCTGCCCATGTTAATTCTTCTGTCGCTTATTTCTCTAATATCAACTTCACTTTCAATGGGTAAGAAATCCAGGGTAACATTTATTTTGGCATTGGTGTTGTTGCGGTAGTACCTGAAAATACGGAAATGAAATAAATTCCGTTGATTTATGATTTTAAGACTTTTGGCCCTCACCAAAGATATGAATTGTGCAGCAGATTTAAAACAAGCGATGGAATGGCCGGTAAATATCCATTAAACCAACCAACAACACGATCATCAATGGCCACTCCCAGCAATATTTTATGGCTCAAATAATTATATGTGTGCTGGCGCTGTTGTCTCAGTATATACTCGCTGGTCAGTTCATTCTTAATATGTCTTATTTTAATATTACTATTTCTCCAGTATAAAAAACCATTATAAGTTTCTGCAAATGCTAAAACCTTTTTGGATTTAGAGCCTACGGCGAGTAGAGTTATGGCGTCTTTATAGTGGTGAATATCACAATCTCTTGCCGGCAATTCATCAACATGTGGTGTTATAGCGAATACCGTTATAATTATGCATATAGTAGGTAAAATGAGAAACATTGGGAAATATTTTTTATATGAATTTTGTATGAGAATGAATTTGTAGAACATCGCACACCAATTGTTATACCATCTTTGGTAAATGCTCGGTTGCCGTAGGATCTTCGTATTCATGAATAAAACATCATCGGGATCGCCTTCGGTGATGCTTAGACCATTGAAAATTCTCAAATATCGTTTACGGTCATCGTAGGCGGGTCTTTCGGCGCCAAGCTTACAGAAGAGTTCTTCTATGCGCGTCTCAATTATCGTTATGTTTATAATGCCGAGCTGCTCTTTGCGCGATTCCAAAGCCTTAAACACCGATTCGAGCACCTCAACATTCGACGATTCGATGTGATAGGATAACTCGAGTACAAGGTCACATGCTGCTGCTATGTCGGGTATGAATTTGCTCAACAATTTTGTTACTTCTTCGGACTTACAACTTTCGGATTTGGATATGAGCTGTTCCATAAAAGGGATAAAATATTTAAGTAAAGGATTTTAAGTTAAAATATCAAAAACACCAAAAGAAATATGGCAAATTTATTCAAGTTAATATTATTTGTTTCTATAATAATTAAAACGCTTTCAATGAGTTAGATATTGCTACAAAATTATTGGGTGGGAAAATAATTTTTTTAAATAATTTAAACATTGTATTTTTAATAAACCTAAATAGCCCAATCGGAGATTTTTTTCTCTTAATTTTTATTTCGATTTATATTCGTAAAACGTTTTTAAAAATTTTTTTTTTTTGAAAAGCTCATTTATGGATCTACTTCTCTACCTGGTACATTACCATGCAAATAATATGTTGGATAAAAACAAAAATGGATCATGGAACTTACCAAATGGCAACCAAAACAATACATTGACTTTAAGAATTGGGAGGTTCCACAACATTTCAAACGTCCCTGTGCCAACATTACGATATTATCCGCATGGATTTCCGCTTCGCTACTTAAATGTGTCGACACCAGAATCATACGACCGAACTTTTCTTTTTCCAGTAATTTCCAAATGAGCTTATAATCACGAACATCTAATTTCAAAACAATGTCATCCATCAATACGATTCTGCTGCCACCAATAAGCGCACAGCTTACTGCCAGTTTAGTCCTTTGGCCGCAAGTCAATTTCTCTGTGAGTGTATAACGGTCTCTATCGAGTTCCAGTGCCTCCAAATATTTGTTAACCTCTTTATTTAAATCGTTTGAATGCAAACCTTTAAGTTTCCCAAACAAGATCAGTTGATGTACAACATAGAGATTTCGAAATAACATTTCATCGGCGAAACAGACACCAATAAAATCAATTCCACTTCCGGCTTGTCTGCCTTCAGTGTTTTCTCTAATCGTTACCTTGCCTGATGTTGGACGTCGGAGGCCAGCAATAACTTCAATAAGTTTTGTCTTACCACTGCCATTATGGCCCATCAGCATTGTGATCTCATCCTCGTACAAACTGAAGGTAACATCGTCGAGTACGACTTTATCGCCAATAACTACCGTTAACGATTGCACTTCCACCACAGGTGGTTTGTAATTAGATCTAACCTCAAATATAATGGTCTTCGAATAACGATTACTTTCCGACTCACGAACTCTCGGTTTTGGTTTTCGAATACGTTTCATCAGTTTACCTGGTACACGTGCAATTATTGGTGCAAAAATGCCAATCAACGCCTGTAATATACTCGAGCAACACAACAATAATGCATAAGTGCCCACGTTGTAACCGACATTGGGTAATTCGTTTTTAAAGAAGTTCGACCAGCCCAAACCGTCATGATACTCAAGTTCGAAACAATGTTGTAGTGCCAATGCGAGTGCGGTGTTACCCAATAATGCCAAATATGGATGCAAAATATCGCCTCCTGGAAACGTATCGATTCCGATGGCATAAGGCACATAGAACATGACCCACAAAATGGGTGCTGCGCATATGGCCATATCATGATTCCGAAACACGCGTGAAATCATATAACAATAACTCAAGGTATTAACATTGAAGGCTGTGAATAGGATGAGTAGAGGTAAATATGAAGATCTGTTTAACACGCAAAAACCGATATTCCAAGGAATCTACAAATATAGAAATCATTACGAAAAACTTGTTCTAGAAAAGGCTGAAACGCCGTGAACTTACCTGTAGTAGTAAAAGTAAAATTAATGAACCAATGGAAAGTGATATCAAGGCAAAAGTAAACCAGGTGTAAAACTGCAAGAAGTATGTCACATCTAAAATCGCCAAAACATCATTAAGCCTCACATCACGCTCATTTACCAGAATCTGAAAGTCAAAGAAAAACAAAATAAAACAAAACTTTCCAAATCAACAAAACAGAGAAATGAAAAAAATATATAAAATAATTTTAAGCAAGATAAAATAAAAAAATTTCTAAAATCAAATAGTCTAATTAATTAAAACGAAAAAGGTTCATGTAAAGAAATTATATCAAATAAAGAATAAAATAATATAATATAAAATTAAATAATATAATATAAAGTAAAGTAAAAAATAAAAAAACAACAAATTCAAATAAATAACAAAAGGGAAAATAAAATAAAAAATTTAAAAATTAAATTTAAAAAAATAAAATCAAATAAATTAAATAAATGAAAATAATTTAAACTAAATTAAATTCTATTAAATTAAATTAAATTAAATTAAAGGAAATTGAATTGAATAAATTAAATTACAATAAAATAAAATAAAATAAAATAAAATAAAATAAAATAAAACAANATATCGCCACCTGGAAACGAGTCGATTCCGATGGCATAAGGCACATAGAACATGACCCACAAAATGGGTGCTGCGCATATGGCCATATCATGATTCCGAATCACGCGTGAAATCATATAGCAAAAACTGAGTGCATTTATATTGAAGGCCGTTAGTAAAATAAAGAGAGGAATAAATGAACATCTACTCAGAACACAGAAACCCATATTCCACGGAATCTAAGAGATAAAAATAAATATAAGATCAAATATAAAATGGAATTCAGCTGACTTTTTAGTAAAATGATTAACAGAGCATAGAGCATATGGCGGAAACGTACCTTAAGAAATAGCAATAAGATTATTGAGCCACAGGACATGGAAATTAAGGCAAAAGTAAACCAGGAATAGAATTGCAAAAAATATGTTACATCCAAAATCGCCAACACATTATTAAGACTGATTTCACGCTCGCTCACGAGAATCTTGAAAGTCGAAAAATATTATATAAAAAACATAAATCATATAAATTAAAATAAAGCAAAGAACAGAAATCAAATCAATTAAATGTAATTTAAAATCTGGATTAAGCCAAGCTTAAAACTAAACTGAAATAAGAAAAAAGGCATAACATAAAATAATCTTATTTAAAACCGAAGAAACTGAATTAAAAAAAGAATTTGAAATTAATAAAAAAAACTAAGCAAAAGCGAATGAAATTGTATTACCAAAAATATAAAATATAAAATTAAATGAGCCATAATAAAATTAAATTAAAATAAATAAAAATAATTTAAAAATGTATATAAAGCGGCCGCGGTAGCCAAGCCTTGCGTACTGGCATTCGAAAGGCTGGGATTTATATACCGCTGCCACCAATATCCAAAAGTTATAAAAAATTAATTAAAATATAATTTTAAATTAAATTTTTAATTGCAGTCGCCACACGGCAGGGAATGTCAACCCCTCTGAGTTTCTTTCGGACATGGAATAAAGGCTTCTCGTAAGAAAACTATCAGTAGTTCGGAGGCGGCCTAATACAAAAGGTAGGTCACTCCATTTGCTGGCTCTCGGCCGAAAAATCCCTTCAGCGAAAATAAAACAAACAAAAAAAAATAAAATAATGTATGTATGTAAATGATATAGATGTATATATATATGAAATAAAAAAAAAAATAGTTCACGAAAAATTTAAATCAATAAAAAAATAAATTTAAAAAAGAAAAAAATAAACGATCATAAAAAATTTAAAAAAAATTAACTGAAATAATAGAAACTAAAATTAAAAAATTAAATAAAACAAAAAAAAATTTGAGCAAATCAAAATAAAAAAATAAAATTATTTTAAATTAAATAAAAAGAAATAAAATAAAATTAACAAAAAAAACGGTAGCCAAAAAAAGTAATATAAAATATAACAAAATCAAAAATGAAATAAAACAAATTAAAATAAGGACCATTTATATAAAATTAAAAAACATAATTATAATTAAAATAAGATAAAACAAATGCATAAAACTTTGTATAATAAACCAACATAAAATAAAAAAAAAATATTTATACTGCATAATGTTTTATAAGAACTAAAATAATTGAAAATATGAAAGCTACATATAATTAGTTTAAAATAATTTTTATTTATAAATTAAATTAAATATAAAACAAAATGAAATAAAATAAAAGCATTAAAGTAATGTGGAAATAAAAAGTTAGAAATAAAAAGTTAACAGAACAAGGTAAATAAAATTAAAGAAATGTGTGAACCAAAACTAAAAAGACAGACATATTATTTGAAAATAAAATAAAATATTAAATTTTAATTAAAAGTATAAAATGAGTTTAAAAATAATTTTAATCTAATTAAATAAATAATATAGCATATGTTTATGTATGCTATATAAAAAATTAAACATAAAATTTCGCTAAAGATATGAAATATTTTAAAACGGCACTAAATCAAATAATTATTGATTTTACATTATATTAATCAAATTAATTAATATTGATATTAATATTAAAAATAAATAGTGTAACTTAAAAAAAGTTTAAATAAAGCAAAATAAAAACAAAATGTTATAAAGTAATAAATAAAATTTTAAAATTAATTAAAAGACATTTACATTAAATTCATTTACATATAAATACATATATAAAATAAAAAATAAATAATGAAATATAAAAAAAAACTAAATAGAAAAATTTAATTACTCTATTCTATGCAAAATAAAATTCACATGTACACACATATATGTAATTACACTTACCCTCAGGAAATACAATATTGTACCTATATAAGCCACCGACAATAACAAGGACATGCGTGACTGTAACATTTCCGGCAATGGGTCATTGTAGCGTTCCGCTTTCGGGAATTTTCTCAATTGAATTTCCTCCCCCAGTGATTTCTTAGTAGTGAAATAGATATACGATTCCGAAATTGTCTTCTGTAGCATAACAAATCCTTCATTTATATAGGTTTCGATAATTCTCTCTTCCTGTCCTAAATTCGGAAATAAATGTTTCGTGTCCCAAGTTTCGCCTATATAGTCGTCAAAAACACGTAATTCGCTTGGAAAAATTATACTATATTCCAATCTGTTCGGATATATATCGTATATGTTGTATATGGATTCCGATTTATTCTGAAAATTTTGTTCGCTGAAACAGACTCCAGCGAAATAATATTCGGTTTTCATTTTCTCGCGCAGCTCAGCACAACTGTGAAATTCAGCAGTTTCCTCAATGTTTAAGCTAATTTTCCTCATTGCCAAATTCATGATATTTGCAACGGCCATAATATTCGGTGAATAAGCTATTATTAATCGAGGGGCATACACATTATATGTTGGCCTGAAGAAATGAGCAAACAAATGGATAATGGACTGCATGTATGTACATACACATAGATATGAGAACTTCCAAAAATTGGTTTAAGTTTTCGTTTTTTCATATTTGGTTTATTTTAAACAGTAGATTATGGTTTATTTTCATTTTAAAATGCGAAATACTCACTTGCCAAAATATAGCTCAAGCGATTCTTGACGCTCCGTGATGGTTTCTTTCAAAATTTGCCAATTTCTGTCGAGATCCAAAACTTCATAATTCCTTGCCGTTAGATGTTCGGGAGAAATGCTACAGCGTACTATGACGGCGATGATGCTGAAAATACATGGCAAAAGCAAAGCGAAAAGATATTCCCAACGCGTATTCCAATGTATGCAACAATCCTTCCAGAACATCCATTTGAAACGTTGCCAATGGTAATTCCGTGGCAGTGCATCATCCTCGGAGTACTCACTGCTAGCTGGTGAATTATCAGAATGCATTTTCCTTAATGACTGCACCGTTACACGTTTTCTATTGAAGTGAAAAAATTTGTATGATTTTTGAACAAGTAAATGACAGCTCTGTAAGATTGACAAGAAGAGTACTCAATCAAATTTTGCACAAGTGCCAAGCAGACGGTAGTGGAAAACAGTTTAAACGCAGATTTGTATATTAATAGGAATAGTTTAAATATTTTGGGAAATAAACGTATTTAAATTTATAAATAGATTTAGTGGTTTGCTGGTAAGGCAACTAACAGTCTGAAAATATGGATATTATTATTTTCTAGATAATAAATGCACAATTTACAAAAAAAAAAAAAAAAAAAAAAAAATCAGGATAACAATTAAAAAAATAAATAAATTTCTGGTATAAAACCTTTTTACGTAAATTCAGTATGTGAGGTATTTGCTCGCGAGCTGCTTATATTTTATCATCCTCATCGTATCACAGAAGCGCAGGAGACGTGGACAGCTCTACGTAGATAGGACATGATTACGTTACCTCTCATCCCATCGCTGTTATACCAGAAATAGTTTATTATTATATTTTCTTTATTTCTGAGCACCTATTTAATGGTATGAGCACTTTCAAAGAAGAAGGGATCTCTTCTTGTAGGCGATATTGAGGCCGCTTCTAAACCGTAGGTCCCTCTATTTGTTGGAAAAAACTTAAGATATTTTTACATAGGTATTGATCGCCTTATTTTGGCGCCCCATGATTCACGCACCAGCTTCCTCTTCTGTCTTGGATCGATCTGTGTACTCCTCGAAATCGGAGAGCATAATGTTGCCACTTTTGTCTCTTGTCCTCAAGAGCTTAGGCCTTCTGCCAACTCCCTTAGTTCTTTCGTCGAAGGGATTTCATTACCTGCCGCTTTGCTTCGGCATCTTTTACTATTATTTCAACCTCCGTTGGATTGGTTGGATCAAAGCTAAGCAAGTACACCTTTAAACCTGAAGTTGAGTGTAATGCTGCTCCTTGCTATGTCATGGCATTGCTCGTTATCCATGCATAAGTTAAGCTTTAGGCAAGTTCATTTTTTCTTCTAGCACTTTTCAGTGGTCAAGATGCCAAGACCCCCGTTTTGGTCTTTTAGAACCTATCGCATATGCTTGCCCCTCGTCCATATGTCGGGGAAAGAATATTGTAATATGGTGTTTGGTGATAAGTTCTACGCCCGACCAGTCATTCAAATTGGGTTTCATGTTGGTAAGTCATTCGGCTGTACTGGCGTTCATGCAGTGGTCAATAGGAGCTCTGATCTCAAAGTTGCAGCTGTGACTGGTAGCAGATTCTTTCAGCTCATCTATTATATGGTCTTAGCTGCTAGCCATCTGCTACGGCGACAGAAATTTCTCAAGAAAGTCCTTAGAAAGAAATTTAAGCGCATACCATTGTCCCGTGCGACATAACAGAACTGTCAAAATATTATATCTTTAGCGTTGACTTGCGCCATCGGACTCTAATAATATTTATATGTATGTACACATAATTTATATACAACTGAAATGTCCCGAGAAATTATCTAAATGCGTGTCTTTATATAACGGGTGATCCAAGTAGAGATTCTTTTATTAATAGCATGGCGTCAGTTATGTCAATCTATCATATTATTTTTATTCAGTATTGTTTGATATTTCATCATGGAAAGACTCACGTCTGAACAAGGTTTACAAAACCTTTAAACTTTGTTTGTTCCGTAACGAATGTGTTTCGCTCAACTCAACTTTTGGTAAAGCCTGGCCTACTAGGTAACACCTTTCCCCATCTTGAGACACAGCATTCATTATTGGATAATATTCGATCAAATAGACCACATCTAGCATGCATTGAAGAAAATATAGGGACCGTAGCTGAAAGTTTACACGAAGACCACGGAGAAACGATTCGGCGTCCTTGGCAGCAACTCGGGTTGACGTATGGAACGCCTTGACGCATTTTACGTCAAGATCTTAAATTGAAAGTGTACAAAATACAGCTCGTGCTAGAACTGAATCCGCTCGACCTTCTCAAGTGAGATCGCTTTGATGATCTATGGACTCTTGCACAGTTTCAAGAAGATCCGACGTTTTCAAACCAAATTTTTTTCAGTAATGAAGTCTATTTCTGGCTCAATGGGTATGTAAACAAGCAAACTTGCCGCATTTGAGACGAAGAGCAACCTGAAGGGATTCAAGAGCTGCCTTTTCATTGAGAACATCAAAGGTTTGGTGTGGTTTGTGAGCCGGTGGAATTAACGGTCCACATTTCCTCAAAATTCAATCAGTGAGAACGTAAGCGTCAAAGTTGACCTTTATCGTGTCGTGATACCCGCCAATTTGATACCAGAAATTGTAGCTCGGGATCCCGGTGACATTTGGTTTTAACAATACGGCGCCACTTCCCACCCATCGCATCAATCAATGGATTTATTGAGAGCACACTTCGGTCAGCAGATTGTGCGGATATGTAGAGTCTAAAGTCTATGCGTACAATCTCGCTTCGATTCAGTCCTTAGAGTAAAACATCACGCGTGTCATTCGCCTGTTACCAGTCAAAATGCTCAAACCAATCATTCGAATGATAATAGACATTCCCCATTAAACTTGAATTTTCTATGTTTTTTTCTCTCTAAAAAATTAGCGAACCTCGAAATGGAGAACCGTTTGTTTGTACGTCTTTTTATACGCGCTGGCACTAGTACTCATTTTCCTTTGAATAAAACAGTCTTTATGTCGGTAATCATAAATAATGCGAGTTACTTGCGAGTAATTGCATGCCGCGCAAAAGTTTTCGAAAGTTAAATTATGAAAGTTCTTGATGTTGCTACAGACTTTATACGACACGTCGTCATTTTATCTAAGTAAAATGCAGCAATGAGCGTGGATAAAATATAAAATTTAAAATTCGAATGTGAGTTTAGTGCGAAAATCGTGATTGTAGTAAGTTTTAACTAGGTAATAACATTTTTGCGAACGGCAACAGCATTATTTTGAATATATATATATATATATATGCGTATTTTTTTATAGCGCAACGGTTTGTCATATGATTTAAGAACCACCGCCAACAATTCATAATCATAATCATAATTTTCATAAGCTGGCTTTTGTTTCAGCCGCCAATATTTGGTCTCTGATGTATAAAATTAAATATTTTCTTTATATGCATATGAGTTGTGAATTATTTTTTAAACAAAAAACACCCATGCGCTTGCATATGTAAGTACAATCATTTTATCATTTGTAACTAAACTTCGTCTTCAGCTAATGTGCTATACTCGTAACGCACAAACGCGTATATGTGTATTAAAATGCTAAAAACGTAAAATAAAGAAATAAAAATATAAACAAAAATGTTGTTACATACAGAATAAGAAAGCATAAGCCTGTAGTCTTATGTCAACATGTATTGTATATAAAGAGTGCGTACATACATAAAGGCATATGAATTTGTTTGCAAATCTATGAAAATATAATTGTCACAGCAGAAGAAACCTTTCGCCAGTATCTTCCGCAGTTTTGTGATATTCGTCTTGATTGAAGAAACTATAGTCTACTCTAAACCATCTCGGAAAATTTTTTTTTTTCATTTGCATGCAGGTGTATTCGAACTAACTCAGCACCACCCACCTACAATTTATTTAATTCAATTTAATTTTATTTTATTTAATTTTATTTTATTTTATTTTATTTATTTTATTTTATTTTATTTTATTTTATTTTATTTCATTTTATTTTATTTTATTTTATGGGGAACCTTTCCTCCTTTTAAATATCATTTAATATGTTAAGCTCTTTGTTCTAAATAAACAATCATTCAAAAGAAGGGAACATTAAAGAAAACAGGGTAAAAGAGTGGTAGAAACTCTTAGATTTTTTTTTTGTGTAATTTTTTAATATGAAATTGAACTAATTCGATTTAAGCTGTTCTTAAAAGGCTTCAAATTATACACAAGAGTGTGAGATAAGATGCATGAATCTTTCCGAATAAAGTATACGCTTCAATCGGTTCAAATCGGGGAATTTAAAAAATTTTGTGAAACTAAATTTTGAATTTCACTTGTCTCACTCAACTCAGTCACGTTAACTAGTTTCGTTTCCTCCTTTCATATTCCGTTTGATAATTGCAACGTTCTCATTGCAGCTATCATGTTCCTCTGCTAGCCAATTCTCCAACTAAAACTTGTCATTACAAGTGAATTTATTAAAATAATTAAATTAGAAAACCCTGCACGTCGACCAGTCACAGTGAAAATATCAAAAGGCACAAAGAGAAGAAAATAAATTCAAAAAACGTCAAGCACTTTACTATGAAATGGAAGGAAAGCGCATAGTGGGACTCGTTGATGGCCAACTAAAGCTCAGGAGAAGCAAATTTTTTTCCTCCAAAAATATACAAGAAAGGAAACTTGTAAGTTGTAAGGCAAACGCTACATTTCCTGCAACAAATGCACTGCAATGACCAACTAGTTCGTGGCGTTACGCAGGGAATAAAATCAACGAGCAGCTAGCAAGTATGCAGCATACCAACGAGGTGCATGGTGAGACTGGAGCTACTTGTGAAGCTACGCTTGAAATAATATCAAAACGCTAAAGATTTTCATTTCCGTCAATTGCTATTTTTATTACACGATCTCCCTACCATTCAACCAACCAACTTTACGGAGTTTTTCTGCAAAATTTTCGCTTAAGAACACACGTCTCTCCACGAAAAAAAAAACCTTCAGTCGACAGCTTGAGCTGTAAGCGCTTGACAGGAGAAGAAAAGCAGAAAGAATTGCAAGAAAAATCATGAAGTACGCTCGCGGTCGGTTAGGTAGTTGCAACAGCGATGAAATCGTAAAGCAAAGGAAAAGAGCACAAAAAATAAAAACAGTGAAAATTGAGCAGAAAATGAACGAATGGCAGCAAGAGCTCGATATCAAGGGGAATAGCGGAAAAAGTAACATCTCCATCGCTAATGTGGCCGCCATCGCCATCGCCATCGCTTTCGTTCTCGTGACAGTCGCCACATCACGCCACTCTCTCCTCGCTAGGTAGTCAACCAGTCGGCGAGACCCTCGGATCACGAAGCGTTGGCGCAGCTTTGCATTTAAATGAAAAGTGTGTTTAAAAA